AGGTGGACCCCCACATAGAAGGGAGGAGCCCCCAGCCGGCCGGGCCGAAGGGACCCAAGGACAGCACCCCCAGTAGCAGACCCGACACAGCTCCCAGAGTGGAGGACCCCCCTGAGGAAACACTGGAGTTAAAAGCTAAAGACTAAAAGCATAAAATAGGACTAAAAGAATAAATAAAATAAAATAAATACAGTACCAAAAATAAAATGCATACGATTATAAATAAAATAGAATAGATACAGTACCAGTGATAAATAAAAACAAAAAAATTTAAGATTAATATCATCTTAAAAAGCAAGATAAAAGCAGCAACATAAAATGGGATAGAACCAGATAAGAACATAAGAAGAGTTTAAAATATTAGTTAAAAGCCTGATTAAAAAGGTGTGTCTTTAATCTTCTTTTAAAAATATCAGCAGTCTCTGCAGTCCTGAGGCTCTCCGGCAGGCTGTTCCACAGGTGGGGGCCATAGTGGCTAAATGCTGCCTCACCATGGGTTTTTGTTCTGGGTTTTGGTATGGTTAAAAGGCCAGTGCCGGAGGACCTCAGGGACAGCAAGGGTTGATATGGTAAAAGCAGATCAGATAAATAAGAAGGCGCAAGGCCGTTAAGACATTTAAAAACAAGTAAGAGAATCTTAATATGTGATTAATTTAGATTAATTAATCACAGGGCGTCTAATTAATTAGAATTTTTTTTAATTCGCTTGACAGCCCTAATTTTTTCACAGAACCAAATAATGGCTTGCTGCTCTAGAGTGTGATTTTAGACAGCATGCCAGTGTCCTGGAATCAAAAGAGGCGTGATGGGCGTCAAGTGTAAGGGGCCGTTTTTACAACAACGATTTCAGTAAAAACGGAAAAGTCTGTCCTTTGCGTTTTAAAAAACTTCTGCGTTTATATGACGACATTATTGAAACGATCCCCGTTCACACGGAGCTGCAAAATCTACTGGAAACACTGTAGTATGCACGCCAGGTCAATGGGTGGCAGTGTAAATTTTGTTGCTACAGTAACAGATCTACACTTCACTTCAAATCAACAGGATGAGCAGCACAAACAGAGCTCAGCATTGTTGTTGTGACGGTCGGCATGCCTAGTGACTGGAACCGTAATGCACATGTGCGAAAAGTCTCCGTTTTCAGAGGAACTGCATATTGCACGTTTATATGACAACGGAGACGCTGCCGTTTCCAAAACGTTGCACTCTGGAACCCGTTTTCAAATCGTTGCGTTTTCAGGCACCCAAAACGCCGCTGTTGTGTAAACGATAGGCCAAAATGCAACTAAAGTTCACCGTTTTCAGTTGAAATCGTTGTCGTCTAAACGGGGCCTAAGACAACAGCGTCGGTCTCTAGTTCGACATAAAACATATGCATCGGCTTTATAAACAATAACAATGGCATTACCAAGGCAATAATAATCTGCTCGGAGGGTAAGGAGCACCCAGACCTCAATTTGTGGACATTTTTGGCTACTATTCTTCTTTGAGTTAGCTGCTAACTGCTAACAGCTACCTTTAAAATCTCTCACAGTGGGTCACACGCATAACACGTCATCAAAATGCCACACCTGTGCTGCTCATGATCCTGTCCTGCTGGCTGTCACTTTTATACAGACATAAGTTTGATGCTGTTACTACCACAGATTCCGGCTTCATGGTGAGACAACTCTGTCCCCGATGCCATGATTGTACCTTTTATACATAACAGCGAATCGGAATAACGGCGTAAAAATTCCACCTTGAAGGTGCAGTATGAAAGGGGCTAGGGACTTTACATATTTGTGTATTTGTTTATGTATTTGGATTAGCGTTTACTGGCACAGCAGCTACTCTCGCTCTCTCAGGAGCACTAAAAAATTCATCTACAACAATTTAAATAGTCAATTAATTATTTAATTGACTTATAAAGCAAACAAGCCAGAAATTAACTGAGTCTTGATTCAATAATGTTAATATTTGCTGTTTTTCTGATCTTAAATCACTTTGAATAAACTATCTTTATACTACCATTACTGGTCAGAAACTGTGATGAGCATTTTTTCACTGTTTTCTGATATTTACTAGACTAAATAATTGATTGATAATTCTAAATAATGTTATGTTATGTAACCTTTATTTAAACTCGTGAGTTTAAATAATGATGCAAATATGTATAATACCATTAAACTATGTAACAACATGAGCACATTACATAACGCGGGTGGTAAAACATTATGATTAAACGTTTTTAATTCATCAGTATTTTTTTGAAGGTTATTGTATTCAAATGTACTCTTGGTTACATCCCACACAGCCATTTTCTCATATCATTACACTGCCAAATGAAACTGTTTGGCATCATTGCACATCCATTCTGCTTCAGTAAACTTGAATTTTCTTATAAGATTTTTTTAGCTTTTCTAAAGCTGGGAACACACTTTATTTAGTTATGGCTATTTTTAATTAACAGTAATGTAATCGTTTATATTTTCCTCTTCACAGACATCTATACCACTACAGTAACTGGTCTGAAACTGGATTAAAAACAAATTTGTGTTTCTAAACTTGTAAAACTACAACTTGTAAAATGAAATTCTTTATTCAACCTGTCTATATTTAATAAAAATCAAAATTCTATGTGATTATTACAATAACACCGTGTTAAAAGAGTATTAATTTAACAGTAAAGTTCACTTTTAACTGGGCCATCCACTTCTATTGATGGTGCACACTCCTATTTTCATTTTCAGTGCATCACTACTGTAGTTTTGCTCTATGGGAGAAACGTCACACCAGACTCCCATTGAAATATCCCCATTTAAAGATTCCCTGCTTGTCTACAGATGCTACACACATTGTAGAATATGCTTTAAGACGTTTTTAGACTAAACAACAGTCGCTCTTTGATTCGGCATACATGTAATAAACCAATTCAAAGCATAAATATGTAAAATGTCAACTTTAATAAATAAATAACTCGCTCTCATATGACATTCTGAAAGTCACGTTACACAGTTATAAAAGTTTAATTTCCATAAAAACAGACGTGTTTTCTGGAATATTAAGAAGCCGAATTAACTTTAAGGTCCCAGCTGTTCGATTTTATAACAGATCATTTTAAACTCTGAATTCATTGTGACTTTTTATCTTTCATAATAAAGCCATGGGTCACATAACGAAGCCTGGTGCTGTCACTCCATCACTCCCCTCTCCAAACCGCCCACTCCCTGCTGCTGTGCCTGTTTTATAACTTAAATAAACACCTGGTGAACAAACACCGACAGGTACCTGGACATAGTTGCTCTCGCAGTACTCCGCTACTCTCTCCAGGTTAGTGTAACTGTCCAGTAAAGCTCTCCGTCCCGCAGGAATTTCCTCCTCCAGCAGCATTTGTAGCTCCGCCATCTTTACATGCTTCTACTACTAACGGCTGCGGCGCGCGCTCACTGGATGGATCCCGCTGCCTTCATGGAATGTGGGAGAAATCACAACACCGGGCGAGAAAAGATGGAAGAGTGGGAATTTTGTGTCTCACTCCAGCCTCTGAGAGCGGAAATTAAACCAAGGCATGCTGATTGACAAATGACATCGACCCTGACAGTGATATCTGACAATAACAGGAAAAATTTGAACAGATAAATAAGAGAAAGTAGTCTAATTATTACGATCTACTCAACTCCATCAGTTTAATGAAGTGTTCAGGTGCACCTCGTCAACAGAAAAACTACCACAGGATGTAATTGAGACAAACTTGATGAATTATTAGGATCTTTTACTTGAGTAAAAAGTAACAATACTACAGTGTAAAAATACTTAATTACAAGTCCTGCATTCAAACCTAAATAAAAGTATATAAAGGCTTACAAAAATATTTTGCATTAAAGTTTAAAAATAAATGTAGTGCAGTAAAAAGTACAATATTCCCCAGGTACTTCAAAACTGTAATTAAGTACAGCTTAAGTAAATGTACCCCACCACTGACAGTATTCATTATTTTAGTTTTTTTATTTACTGAAAAATAAAATAAACAAAATTGTCTAAATGAATTTTATCATTTTAATAAAAAACATATGTATTATTATTATTATTATTATTATTATATTACTATTACCATAGTTAGATAAAATAAAATAAACTACATTTTCAAATTTCATTTTATTTCATTTTATTGAAATAAAAATTAAATTATCAAAAGTGGCAAAATTAGTTTTTTAAATGCAAAAAAATAACCAAATTGGGACTTTTTTTAATTTTGTATTTCAATGAGAAATAAAATGAACAAAATTGTAAAAAAAAAAAAAAAAGGGTTCTTTTTAATTTAAATGAAAAAAAATAATTTAAATGAAAAATATATTTTTTTTATTTAAATGCATTCATTGAATTTATTTTATTGTTTTTATTTAAATAAAAAATAATATTACCAAAATTGTCGCAATTTATTTTATATTTAGATTAAAAAAATCACATCAACTAAATCGCCAATTTATTTGATTTTTATTTTAAAAAAATGTTTTTAAATATTTGTTTAAATAAAAAAGGAAAATAAACAGAATTGGTTGATGTGATATTTTTCATTAGATAAAATTTAAAATAAACAAAAGTGTCAAAATTTGTTTATTTTAAAGTACTGTATAAATCATCTGCTGTAATATGCAGACTCACTAAAAGGTGTTTGAGATAAATCCTCCTCTTGAAACTCTTCCAACACCTGAATTTATCTCAAACAGGTGTCCTGCAGCAGGTCTGTCTCCCTGCAGAGTCACGAGTCCTCTGAGCCAAACTGAACATATGTTACATGACTGCAGGGTTTCTGGGTTTAACAGATTCCTGCCGACAACACGCCTCCACTCCTCATTTTATATTTCATTAAATATGGGAAATAAATTCTGCCTCTTTCTCCAGTCTAACTTCAAACCGTGGGAGCTCATGATGCTGCATAAGTTCTGTATCCATGTGATGTGTTTGTTGGAGCAGCAGCGCCACCCTGTGGTGAGAAACACCACACAACACACAGCTGATACTGTACATAATATTGTTTATCTTTATTTACAAAATCACACTTAGGAATACAAAGTGCTAAATAACATGTACAAAATATACATTGAAGGGGCAGGATAGCTGGTTTGAGTCAGATAAACAGACAGACAGACAGGAAGTGGTTTTTCAGGCAGGTATGTCCAGATTCTCGTCTCCTCTCGGGAATCCCTCCACCTCCATTGTCATCAAAAACTCTGCAGAGACAAAACCAACACATTTCACTAAAAGCACAAAACCTTCAGTGTCTTCTCAGTTTCACAAAACACCCTCAGACCATAAGTAACTTTGATTCCTCCTTTTTATGAATATTATTATATAATTATTTTTGATTTTGTTTGTGAAAGTTATTTACCCACTTTTGTTTGTAGTTTTATTTCTCTGTAAATCCATTTTGTCGACCTGTTTAAAATCAGCTCTGTACATTTGACTTGACTTGAGAGATGTTATACTCACATCATCATCAGAAGTATTCCAGAGCGCCGTTTACTCTGCTGATATTACTTTATATATTTACAGCACCTCGTGTTTAAGCTCCTATCCAAATCTTAAATTTGCTTTGAGTGAGTTAAACACGTCCTGGGTAGTTTCACCAGCCACCTCCCATCAGTAACCAGAGATTTAATACAATTAGCATAATGAAGAAGAAACACATACGGAAATGTTTAAAAGAAAACAACTCAGAAATAAATACATTTAGGGGAATAAATAGAGGAGGAAAAACAAAGGGGATATAATCACTGAATGATGATGTAAATACACTTAAAAATGTATCAATACATTTCAAGATAAATTTAAAATAAATAAGTAAATGCAAAAATAATAAATACATTTAAAAACATTTAAATTAAATTAAAAAAATTAATTTAAATATAAAAAATAGAATTACAATTAAATTTAAATTACAAAATAGAATTGAAATTAAAGTTAAATAAATAAACTTTAGAAATTTAAATTAAATTAAAAAAAATTCAAGAAAATTAAAAATAAAATTAGAATAAAAAATACATTTAAATCTAAAAAATGTATACATAAAAATAGAATTACAATTAAATTTATATAAAAAAAATAAAAATACAAATAATAAAAAGGGAAAATGAATTGGGCAAGTAAAAAAATAGAATTAAAATTAGATTTACATAAAAAAATAAAAAAAATAAAAGGGAAAATTAATTAGGCATGTAAATAAATAGGGGAATTAACATAAACACACATAATAGGAATAAACTGATACCAACAAATCAATTTATATCACATTACAGGGGACATGTGCCCCTCAATATTTAGAACAAATGCATCCCCCTCAAGTACGTACAATAAAGGACAGAGGACTTTCATTTCAACAAAATTAAAGCTATCTCCACTGTAAACTGATACAGAAAAGGCAAAACTGATGTAAAATGAATCACAAGAATACAAAAACTTAAGTGTTTGACCATCAAAATTTAATGTTGAGGACCCCAAACCCCAGTTACATATGTGTTCCTCCTCATCAAACCTACGCCCTTGATTTTTAACATTTAATGGTATTAATTAATTTTAGAGTCATTTCTTCCTTTAGTTTTGATTTTCTCCACCCACCTTCTGTGTAGTCGATGTCGGGTCGGGTGGAGACAACGGCCCAGGCCAGGCCCACCAGCAGCGCCACCACCAGGTTCACTACGATCCACGGCCGCAGGATCTGCTGCTCCGACCCTGGAGGCCTGAAGGAGGTGAAGGTGAGTACGACACAGTAGAACACAGTCAAACACAGTTGAACACAGTCGAACACAGTCGAACACAGTAGAATAAAACCTCAGCTCTCACCACAGCGTCTCATTGGCTGTTGGGTAGAGGTGGATACGATCGCTGGTCATTTGCTGACTGAGGGACAGGATCAGGGCTATGAAGTATACTGAAGACAGAGAGACCACAACCATAATCATCATCGTCATTATCATCATCATCATCATCATCATCATCATCATCATCATCATCATCATCTTTGTCCTGACTCACAGAAAGAAGCGAGAGCAGCAGGATCCAGAGTGAGGAATCCTCTCAGAGCCATGGAGGCTTTGGCCAGGTTCACCCTGCAGGGGGCACCAAACACAAGACTGTCAATAAACAGGCCCGTTTCCACCGCAGGAACCACCCCCGAAGGACAGAGTTCCGGAACTTTTACGGGGGCTAAACAAGTCCCTGCTTCGGGGTAGGTACTCAGAACGGCCCCGAGAAACTCCTGGCTGGGGCTTGGGGATTACTTGGTGCTGATTGGATATACTCAAGGCGGGATGTGACGTTTTGTAAATAACAACATGGTTATCGTAGATTAGCTGGGCTAACTGTTAGTTGTTAGTGGTGTCTGTAATAACTCCGGTCATGGTCCGTGAAAAAAATATCTTTTCCAGCGGATATCTTAGTTACAACATGATTGAGCTAGCAAAGCAGTTTTGTGTTGCTATGTGTGGTATTTATTCAGTTTTGGGAAATCACGATGTCTAGAAAGCATCAGCTGACAGGGACAGCTAACAGCAGCAGCAAAGCTAACATCAGGACGTCATCTGTTAAAAGCCTCCCGTTGTCGGAAACGACATGAAACTACTCCAGTTAGCTCAATCATGTTGTAACTAAGACATCCACTGGAAAAAATATTTTTTTCACGGGCCACTTTGTGAGTTATTACAGACACCGCTATCAGCTAACGGCGTCCCTACGTCACCCTGGTCAAAATGGTCACGCAACGATTATGTCACACCCAGAGGCAGCCCATAACTTTACAGGAACCTTCCTCGTACTCCGCTCTCAGTGGAGACACGGTGGTTGAGAGGGCCGAACGAGGGCATGTTCCTGTAGTAGTTCCTGCCCCCCAAATAGTACCAGGAACTTCTTCAGTGGAAACGGGCCTACTGATGAATGAATGAATGAATAATTTGTTAATTTTAAGAAAAAAAAAAAACATGAAATTTAAGAGGCCTTTACATTGAGTCCAGCACTCCACTGACTCAGTGAGCTTTAATGTTGTAGTTCAAAGCTCTGTCCATTTAGAGGTGGTGAAATTTTAATGTTTTGCCTTTTATTTTATTTCCTGTTGGCTTTGCAGACAGACAGCAGGGTAGCTGCTTTAGCATCTGGAAACACAGCGCCCACTGTCCAAACTCTGTCTCCACTAGTTCCTTTGCTGCAGAACTGAGTCCTCTTTCATATGAACTGACAGAAGAACACAAAAAGAACTGAGTCCCTTTTCTGTCGGTCCACTTTTTGGTGCACTTTGAGAGTTTGGTTTGTTTTAAAATGACTATATGTGAAAACACCAGGCCCAAAATTGAGGCACTTACTCAAGGGGGTGAGCTGGGGATAGACTGGAGGGTGGGCACAATGTCTCCACAGCAACACTATTGGGTTGGGATGGCGTTAGTAACGTTTTTTGCCAAATGAGCAAACTTCTTGCACGTGATTGTTGTTACAGAGTTATATTTGTTGTGATTTATGAGCCTTGGTTTCATGTTTTTATCCACAGACCTGTCGAACGCAGACACGGTGCTGATGGCCAGCAGCAGGTAGAGCAGAGACTGAGCTGGGTAGGCCAGAGGGTGGTACTGCTGCAGCAGGTTGGGCAGAGTGGTCATCTGCTCACCCGCCAGTATGTACACAACAATGATGTTCCACACGGCGTAACCAGCCAGGAACCCGTGAGAGAAGAGACCGATCACCCTGCACACACCACAGGACAACATGGAGGGGAGGAGTTATCGTATGAGAGGGGTCCTCACAACGTGGTACAGGGTCATGGTCCTCATATATGCAGTAAAACATGTATGTGTTTGTGCAGACCTGAAGCCACTGTGAACCTTCATAGCCACGTCTCTGGTGGTCCAGAGCTGTCGGGGGTCCATGTAGTCCTCCATCAGCTCTGAGTGTCGGAGCTGCTCAACTCGCTCTGCCTGGTGGAAACGCCCTGCACGCACACACACACACACACACACACACACACACACACACACACACACGCACACATACACAGAAGAAAGGCAAATGTACTTGTGTGTGTGTTTTGTGTGTGTTTTCAGTGTCAGCCTCGTCTTTCACACTCACTGTTCCTCTCCACGAAGACTTTGCCAACTGGCTGGCTGTGTCCGTGTGGAGCAGAGAACAGGGAATGCTGGGGGATTGGCGAAGGAGCGTCGGTGATGATATCATCATCTTCAGCTCCGAGATCATTGCTGTGGTGTTCTGCCGTCCTCGCCTTCCTGACGTGATATAAGAGAGACGGTTCTCACTGTGTAGGTGAAGACTGAAACATCTCAATAACTGTTGGAGTGTGATTAACTGTGGTTCGTCGTTCATGTTCAGGTCGACATTTTAATGTGTCTGTACTTTGGTTTTTAAAATCTTTACTTTGTTCTCACCTCTTCCTTTTTGTCTTTCTGGTTACAGCAACATTCGTTTCCTCTCCGCCTGCATCCGGCTCGGCCATGTTACCGTTTGGCACATCTGCGTGCTCTGTTTCCTGATCTGAACGAAACAAACCATTGGGTTATTATAAATATACAACGCAGTGTCAACACTTTGATAAAACACTGTCTCTTGGACATTGGTGATTAAAAGCTGCTGGAGAAACTTTTTTTTTTTTTACATTTTTATTGTAATTATTGTTTTTATTTAAAACAAATTGTAAGTATTTTTATTTTATTTTATTCTATTTATTTGTCTTGTGTATGCATTTTGGAAAAACTTTTTTAAATTGTTTTTAAATATTTTTATTTATACATATATGTTTATTCATTTATTCTTTTTGCATTTTAAATATATTTTTTTTACTTTACTTTTAATTTGTCTTGTTAATGTGTGGGAGAAACATTTTTATTTTTTTATACAGTTATATTATACATTTATTTATCTATTCATTCTCTCTTTAATGTATATTCGTTTTATAGTTTATTTGTCTTGTCTTATATGTGTGTATTGATGTAATTATTTATTGTTTATTTTTCTTGAAAATCTAATAAATAAAGTGTAAAAAATAAAAAATAAAACACTAATGGACAGTCAGTGCTACACATAAGAAAGTGTAAAAAAAACTATCTCTTGGACATTGGTGATTACTATCTGAAGGAGATGTTTTTATTATTTTTACATATTTTATTTGTTTATATATTCATCAAAATTTTTATTTAAGTTTTATTAAAACATTTTTAATGTATTTTGACCTTATTTTTTATTTGTCTTGTGCCTTTCTGGGAATTTAATTTTGAATAAAGTGTCAAAAAATACCACCACTCTCACCCAATGTCTCTTGGACGTTTGTGAATATTATTTTTATTACATACATACATTTATTATTATTTATTTACATAATTATTTGTATGTATTTTAGATCATTTTATTATTTGTCTTGTCTAATGTTTGTGTTTTGATATTGTTTCTTGAAAATCTGATAAATTAAGTCTAAAAAATAAAAATAAACACTGCCTCTAGTGGACAGTTGGTGCTACACATGTTGTTACCAATTGTAGGCGTCCTCTTCTTTTTCTTCTTCTTGAGTGGTGCTGGATCCTGCGGCTCTGGAGTCAGAGGCTCTTTACTGTCAGAGTGGCTCCTGTTGGCCACTTCCTCCATCTCCACCTCCACCCCTGCAGAGGAGCATCACAGAAACAGAATAATAGAAGAGAGCAGAGATGTGTGGAGCTGCAGGAGTAGACTCTGCCTCCTCTCACCTTCTCCCTGCTCCTCTCCATCAGTCACCTCCTTCTTCGGTTTCTTCTTCTTGCTCTTGACAGTTGGCATGGTGTCGTTTCTCTGTGAATGAATCAATTAAGAGGATCTTTCAGGATTTTTTTTTTTTAAATGTAGGTCAGTTAATTAACGTTTAACGAGGATCGTCAGTGGCCGGATGGTGAAGTCTGTTAGAGATAATTGGATTATCCTGAGCTCTGAGGACAGCAGGTGGGACAAAGCTTCAGGAAACACACCACAAAGAACAGACCAAAGACTTTTTTAAAGGTTATTTAAACAGAGTTCTGCAGCATGTCAGCGTGCAGCAGTTTGAAATGATGATTTCCGTGTTCCTGTTTTGATGTGTGATACAGACGGTTGGTGTGTCAAGCTGAATTTTAGTTTTCTTCGGTCTTGTGCGCAATCATCTGAAATGTTCATATGACACTTCAGACACTTTTATCCAAAGCTTACTTATATTGGAGTAATTTGGGGTTCAGGGTCTCACTCATGGACATTTTAACACTTGCAGAAGTGAAGCTGAGGAGTACATTCACATGGCCACAAGACATGTCACTAACAAGGTCTCTGTCAGTCCATGTGATGTTTGTTTACAGGCCACAGCTGGTTGATCATGAGGTGGTGGTGGACCTTTACCTTCCTCCCCACATAAAGTCAGAGATAAGCAGTCAACATTACATCAGTGGACACCAGACCAGAAAAAAAGAGGTGGTTACAAGTACATTCTGTAGACATTCATCCTTTTACAAAACAGATAAGCAACCTGAGATGTCTTCTTAAGAGAAATAAGTGCAGCTTCAACAATATGTCTCAGTTTTTCCACATTCAGTCAGTCGACTTCTCACTGTCATTATATGTGCTATTATCCAAACATTTCCTGATACAGATTCTTTTGAACTGAAGCTGCTGACTGACAATATTTTGCACAATGTTCAGTATCTTTAAACATGGTCACAGTAAGTATTCATTGTTATATCAGAGAACTGTATTCTGGTCAGGGTGGAAAAGCCTCTGAGGCAGAATTTTACATGAAGTAGGCATTTTTCAACTTGCTCCTTTAATTGTGATCCAATTAAAATACGTCTGTAGACTCTCACAATGTATTCAGACACAAAGTTGTTTAAAATTTAAGACACTGTTGGAACGCTTCGAAAAATGGTTTCTAGTCGCCTCACAGATGTTAGTCAACGGAACCTTTAACTTCATTTTCGAGACCCTAAAAAAGAGGCTGGATCATGGGGAGTACCACCAGTTGGTCCAGGAGCTTCTCCTCCATCGTGGATGTTTCCAGACATATTTTAGGATGACTCAGGGGCAGTGTGGCGCACAGCAACACAAAAACAGTGAAAAAAAAAGCTTCATTCTCATTAAAAACAACTAGAAAAAGCCGCCTCCAGCTGCTGAAACACACAGTTTCACATTAATCGTACAGAAGGCAAAATTACCGTACAAATATGATAATCATCACACACGTGGCCCCACTGAAATCACTCCTCTGAACAGTCATCACCTCAAACACGCCTCTCAATAGATAAACGGTTGTGATAGGTCTGTTAAACCTCAAGTAACTGGACATCTGTCCAAAGCAGAGGGGTAAATGGATGGACCTGCACTTGTATAGCACCTTTCAAATCACTTTCCACCCATTCACACACACATTCATATACTGCTGGCCGAGGTTACCATACAAGGTGCCACCTGCTACTTAGTTTTCAACACACTCACACACTGATGGAAGCAGAGTCCATCAGGAGCAACATGCAGTTCAGTATCTTGCTCAAGGAGCCAGGGATTGAGCCACTGATCGTCCAATTGGTGAATGACCCCGTCTACCTCTAGGCCGCAGCCGCCCCAGATGTGTTTGAGGGACCAGACACATCTGAGGCAGAGCGAATACAACATGAGCTGAAGATTTGTCAGGTTCCCAGGCAACATTTTACCTGGATTATTTTTGCATTTAGGCACGTATTTAATGACAGGATGTTCCTTTTGTAAATGATCACAACGACTGAAACGTGAGTTAAAGCTATCTAGTACAGCAAGTGTTCATATTCATGGTACTTTTAGTGCTGGCAGTGCATGACAGCTCTACATAATGCCAGCAGCATCCAAAACCAAAACACAGAACATGAATGAGACAAAGCCGCACCATGAAAAACTGAATATTTATAATAAAATATAAATCAGGATAAGGATTGCTTAAACTGGCTAAATTCTAACTTCCCTTTGGCTCGGTGCTTTTTAAAGGATAACCTGAGGTCTTATTACTCGTGCACCTTGTTTCTACACTGAGCACATTTAAACCAAAAGCATATTTCCAGCAGGTGTGTGTGAGTGAATAAGAGTCGGTGCTCACCTGCGCAGCAGCCGAGTCGCTCTGTGAAGAAACACTCCAGACGATCACAGCCTCCTCCGTCTGTCTCTGATCTGATCCAGCTGAGGGAGAGTGTCTTAGGGTGAACCTCAGAATAAAACCTCACCCTCCTTTACTTTATTTTTCTCTCTTCTTCCTCCTGTTTAATCTCAAAACCTGGATTCAGAACGATTCTTTCCCTTTAAATGATTTGAAACCTGAAGCCTGAGTCCAGAGTGAGGAGATGAAGTGAGATAAAGCAGAAACAGATGGATGGCTGAGGAGGCTCATGTGCAGGTTTGAGATTCATCCCGGGGCTTTGGAGTGACAGGTGGATCATGTGCTGAGCCCTGACGGCCTCTGGGAGCTTTGTGGTTGGTTGATCAGCTGTGAGGTCACCTGATGGTAGTGTGGCTAAGTAGCCATGGATGCTAATAATCCTTCACCTGCTCCGCTGCCAATATACAGCTCATCCAAACACTGTTGACTGTTTACTCACACACACACACACACACTGATGATTTTGGTTCAGCTGCAACACCAGGAACAAACCCTGAAGACTGCACATGTTCATATTTGCTGAATAGGTTTTGGTTTTGGCATAGAAATGTAATCAGTGGTTCAAGAAGTGCTCAGATCCTTTAACCCTTTAAGTCCTACCGTAGCGCCGGCGCTATGTTTTCTATGTCCGGAGTATTATTACCGTAACTCCGTCAAACTTTGTCCGATCAGAAAAATTCCAACGGTGCTGGAAAGCAGAGAATTGTGGGCATGCGCACATATAAGGTTCATTACGGTAGTCCCAACCATACGACGTAGGCATTTATAACAAAACACCGGAAGTACCGGAAGACCGCTACACGGCTTCTCAGTACCATAACTCTGCGAAAGTTTGCTCAATCTGAAAAATTCCAACGCTGACAGAGACCTGAGAATCTGTGCTTTCTGTCAATATATGATGTGTGGTATATGTTATGGTAATATGGAACGGTACCGCCAAAACTGCAATTTTGACAGAAGACGAGGGAAAAAACAGAGCGAGCGAAAGAGTGGTGTTTTTCAAAAAATAGCGTTATATGGTATTATTTGTTTGTGTCTGCGTGTGTCTGTGTTTTATTACACACATTTCCAATGTCGGGAAGACCATCAAGAACGGTAAAACGGCCGCTACGGTTCATAGAGGAGGACAGCGATTTGGAGGATGCTTCTTCTGAACTGAGGTAAGTTATGTGAATAGCATGTGTTGTTTTTAGCATACCTTGTTTGCAATACTTGCAACAAGTTTCCTGTGTTTAGCTCAACTTTATTATAATTATTTGTCAGAGAGTGTGTGTGTGTGTCATAATGTCAGACACACATATTATTTGTACATATTACGATGATGAAAATCATTTACTGCTATGATAAAAGGGAGAGATTTTCATTTGTTATCATCCATTTTACTTTCAGTGCTTACTCCTCTGATGAAGAGTCCTCCAGTGACAGGTATTGACATTGTGCCTTCTGTAAAATTATTTATTTTGTATTATGTGGATTTTTCTGTGGAAAATTGAAAGCACTTGTAATTGAAAAACCTTTATTTGTTGGTTAGGGGAAATTCAAGTTACACTGCACATATGCACCTGGATGATTTTGGATTAGGTGTGTTTGAGTGTGGGACTTGACAATTTTTCCCATTTTTTCCATCACTATCAGTGTTCTCTCTAGTGATGAGCAGCCATCCTGCAGTGGTCCCAGCCATGGTGACATCCCACCACGAGGGAGAGGGAGATGCAGAGGCAGAGGCCCTCAAGGCTCTGCTCACCACTCACCACCACACCAGCGTTGGAAAACAATGGACGACTCTGATGAGGCGGCTCCTACTCCCCCTAGATTTTTCCCCAAACGCCCCCCTGGTGTTCAACTCCCTTTCAACCTGGGTAACCCCAGCCCAGGTGAGATCTTTTGCAGGTTTGTCGATGCAGAGGTTCTCCAACACCTGGTTGAATGCACCAACAAAAAAGCAGCGACTAACCAGGAGAAGGGGAAAACATTTGTCTGGACACCGGTTTCAACTGATGAGCTGAAGAAGTTCATTGGGCTGCTGCTCTATATGTCTGTAGTCCAGATGCCACAGTTGAGTGACTATTGGCGCCAAGGTACAATTTTTCACCAGCCTTACCCTGCAACTGTCATGTCCCGCGACCGTTTCCGGCTCATTCTGAGTAACCTTTACATGAGTGACCCAAAGGCAGATGCAGAGAATGATGCGATGAAAGGTACGGAAAATTATGACCCCATCCATCGGGTCAGATCGCTCCTAAACATGGTCCGCATGCGTTGCCTGTCCTTCTACCATCCCAAACAACACCTGGCAGTGGATGAGAGGATGGTTGCCACCAAGGCCAGACTTGGCATAAAACAGTACATGAAGGCAAAGCCAACGAAATGGGGGCTGAAGCTGTTTGTGTTGGCCGACGTGAATGGATACACGGTGAACTACATCCTGTACACGGGAAAGGGCACCACACCTGTCTCAGGGAATGGGCTTTCCTTTGATGTAGTTGTAGAGCTGGTGAAGAAGGAGCATTTGGGGACTGGCTACATCATATACACAGACAACTTTTACACCAGCCCCCTGCTCTTCCGTCACCTCATCCAGGAGGGATTTGGTGTTTGTGGCACATACCGAGAGGGGAGAATCGGCGTGCCAAAAACAAAAGAGAATGCGCTGGACAAAAGGGCATCAAGGGGCAGCATCCGATGGATCAGAGATGGTGACCTTCTGTTCATCAAGTGGAAGGACACCCGCGAGGTCTCCCTCTGCTCCAGTGTCCACCCGGTCTACAGCGGAGACATGGTGGAGCGCTGGCAAAAGACGGGTGAGCAACACCGGAGAGTCTCCATCCCCAGACCCACAGCGGTGACAGAATATAATAAGTATATGGGAGGAGTTGACACCTCTGATCAAATGCTTGGAACCAGATCCGTCCACCGCAAAACTAAGAGGTGGACCACCACAGTGTTCCAGCATCTTGTGGACATCTGTGTGACCAACAGCTTCATAATCCACAAGGAGGTGTGTGCCAACCAGCAGCAGGCACACATGACCCGGCAGCAATTCCAAGAAGAGCTGACTGCACACCTACTTGGAACACCACTGAAAGTCTGTCCTCCTCCTCCACCAGCCACCCACCACTACCCTGACCCCACAAGCAGTGGGAATCCAGCTTCCCAGCGGTCGACCAAAGGGCGGCGAATTTGCAAACTTTGCAAAAGGTGCACAAGCTGGATGTGCAAACTTTGCAATGCACCACTATGTCTGCAACCAGACAGGAACTGCTTCAAGCAGTTCCATACTGAGCAATAAGCTAATGTGGAGATATTGTTATGTTTTATTGTGATAGTATAAAGTTATATTGTTAAGATTATAGTATTGTTGTTATGTTGTTATAGTTTTTATATTTGACTTGAGAATGTTGAGAATGCACTTTTTCTGAGTATGTATATAGTTATCTTTTGCACTGTTTTTTGCACACACATGTTTAGGTTCACATTTCAAGTGTTCAATCAAAAGTTCATGTGCAATAACAATATGTGACTTGAGAATGCTGAGAATGCATTTTTTCCACATTTACACTGTTTTTTGCACTAATTTTCGCCTATGTATATTGTTAATTTTTGCACTGTTTTTTGCACATCCAGAGTCCCAGACTCAAAAAATGACTGGTGATTATTCTGAACATGTGTAGATTCCCATTTCAAATGGCAAAACAAAACTTCATGAGCAATAACAAAATTTGTTCTCATAAAAGCCATGAAAAAACAAATCCGTTTTTGTATTTTTCTTCTTTGAAACTGCTGACAACTCCATATAATGTGCAATAATCATTAACCAGATGTTGAAAAGTCAAGTTCAAGTAACCCTGGAAAAAGGGACCAAAGCTCTAAGACTTAGGGCATTTCCTAACCATTTTACAGGCATAATAACAAAATATATCCAAATCGCCATTTTTAGCCTCAGTAGATAAATAAACCAACTGCAGGTCTTCTGCAGACCTTGGTTGTAACCAGTGGTTATTTGAGTTACTGTTGCCTTTCTATCATCTTGAACCCGTCTGGCCATTCTCTTCTGACCTCTGGCATCAGCAAGGCATTTTGGCTCACTGGGACAATCCTCTGTAAACCCTAGAGATGGTTGTGTGTGAAAATCCCAGTAGATCAGCAGTTTCTGAAATACTCAGACCAGCACGCACTTTGTTCAACTAGTGGTGTTCCTCAGGGCTCTGTCATAGGTCCCTTTAATTTATTATCTACTTTCTACTTCTTGTCATATCTTCAGAAAATCTGACAATCAATTCCACTGCTACGCTGATGACACCCAGCTCTTTCTATCCACCAAGCCTACATCCACTCTTCCACCCAGTTCCCTTTCTGACTGATTATTGGATATTAAATCTTGGCTCTTGTACAACTTCCTCTAACTTAACAATGATAAAACTGAGGTTCTCCTGAGAGTCATCCTGGACAGTGCATTGTCCTTTGAAGCCCACATCACTAGTGTTACTCAGTCTGCATACTTTCACCTATGTAATATTAATCGTCTTTGCCCATCACTGATACCTTACAGCGCCACTATCCCTGTTCTCTCTTTGGTTACAGTCTTTGGTCTCCCTCTTGTCTTCAAATACATTGCTTTTACTATTATAATATACCAACAGTCTGATCTGATCCGCTCCCTGTGTCATGTTATCTGTTGTGTTACACTGACCCCCACACACTGCTGTTTGTATAGATGACAGTAAAGCTGAATGATGCAGTGAGAAGACACTAATCTGGCTGTTAAATCGGCTGAGTCGCAGCTGTCCTGCAGAGGATTAACCTGACAGACAGAGAGAGGGAGGACACACACAGCCACATGATTTAATCTTGATCTTTAATTAGCACAGATACTGCATGTATATGTTCACCCTCATTCAATATGTTGTGCTTTTATTAAAGCTGCAGTACGTGAGGATCAGTGGAGAGAGTCTTCAGACTTTAGCTGAGTTCAGCTGAACTGCGTCAGCAGTCAGGTGTCGTCATGCAGCTTGTCTGAGCTTTGAGGAGCTTTATATTGAGTTTCAGCATATTGTTTATCTGTCAGGCCACAACTTCACTGCTCTGGTTCACTCTCACTGCTCTAATAGGGTCATTTTCAGAGACAAAGCTGTGAAACAGTGAAGCATTTAGCAGCTACAGAGACAGATATTTGCCTCAGGAGTTGGTGGAGACCAAAAACACAGCAAACAGAGAGAATATTGGACTGATGTTCATCAGGTGACACAAACACAAAGACCCTTAATGAATCATGTTGATCTCTAACTGGATGTGGAAACTGCTCACATGTTCAACACATTGAGCCCCAGAGAGGTCAAATGATCCAATATTTACAAAAACAGCACAGATTAGAGAAAAGTCAAAAAACTAAACACAGTTTTTCTAAACTAATTAATGATCTCACAAACCTGCCTGTAACAAGGAACCAGCCACCAGCTTTGAATGTTTGCAGTCAGTCTTATTGGAGTTACCAGTGGTTATCAGCCTCATAGATACATTGGTTATAAGGGCCTGCTACTGGGTTCAGAGGGCCATTATCAGCCCACTTACTGGTCAATATTGGTTGGCAGGCAGCGATCTATAGTGGCCATGGTAATCATGATGGGTATAAAGGAGGAAGTCAGGTAACGTAGTATAAAGAGCAACAAAGTCAACGTATGGAAGAGGTCTGGGTGGACAGGACTTTCACCCTGACAGCTGTTCATGCCCTGTGTGACACCAAAAGTCAACACTGACCTTAATGTACGACATGTTACGCTGCATAACAGAAGTACTTATTTTAAACCAAACCACAATCATCTTCTCAGCATGTCATTACAAATGAAGCATTGTGGTGCTACAGGCCCACAATCCTGTTCCAGACATAAGGGAACATGCATCATCATCATCTCTATGTTTATGTCAGTGAAAATAAAATGCAAAAATTACCACACAGCACAACTCATATCACTCTACCACTAACCTATGTGTATGAGGCTGATGACCACTGATACCTCATCGTGCACCAGTCCAGATCCTCTGAACAGATCTCTCTACAGAGAGGTCATTAAAGAACATAATACACTGAAAAGCTATTCCTGTGAAACAGTGATCATGAATAATGTAAAAAACAAAGTGCATCTTTTAATAGAAGACATGAGGTAACGTGAGACAACAGAGCACCTTTATGGTGCTAAATCTTTTTGCTTTTCAGTGGTGGAAAGTAACTATCTAAGTCTTGTGTGTGATTTATCCTGGCTATTCATGAGCAGAGGAAATCTCTGCTAGCCGCTAAGCTAATTTATACAGTGTAAAATGCCCTAGGCTTGTGCTAATAACATTAGCATGTTGTATTTGTGGGGAAAATGTGTCCAGATAAAGACAAGTGTTTGTCTGTGAATGCTGCGAGTTATAGTGAAGCTGATTTGTGTACTTGTGTTTGAAATGGTCTCTATTAATTTGAATCAACTAAACTTTACAGCACTAAACAGAAACTCCATCACCGACTAGTGTTTTGGAGGTGTAACTGCAGAGTGACACAGACACACCACCGCACAAGTATAAATGCTCACAACGGCGTGCGTAGGCTCTGCATAGAGCTGACGCACAAGTATCAATCTATCTTGAGCATTTGTGTAAAAACGGCTGCTGTTGGCTCTTTCAGCACTGTTGCCATTGTTAGCGCTGCACTAATAGCCCCCAGCATTTCAGCTCTGTGTTTGCTTGTAACGTCCGAAATAAGAGCCCAGTCCAGACTCTGAATGTCAAAGGTCAAAAATAATTTGTGCGGTTGCTTCAAGATTAGGATCTGCTTCAAAATCAGATGGGTTCTTCCTCAGCCCATATTCCACCCCTCTGCTGAGTGGAATGAAAATCAGGCTGCACAAACTGACCAAATACATGACCTCCTTGGTGGAGGTAATAAATACAGAGAGAATACCTCTGACTCCTCTTTGGAGTTAAACTCAACCAGCGAGGTGAAATTCTTCCTCCACACTTGTCTCGCCTCTGAGGTTTTATCTGTTCAAACTAAAAGTCATTTTATTTGACAGTTTTGGTGACAATTTTAAAAGACGACAGGTAATATTTTCTTTGAATAACCCCCTCAGTCTCTCACTTTTCCATCTCCATCATGTCGTAACATCTTCTCCTCTGTCTCCAGTTATTTTCTATGACTCCCAAATTCTTTTTCCATCTCCCCCCCTCGTCTTTATATCTCACTCAGTATTGTTTTCTTTTATCCAACACGTCTCCGTCTTTTCTCTCTTTGTATTCTCTCTCGTAGTTTTTCTTGTCTGTCCTAATCATCCTCTCCTCCTCCTCCTCCCCCTCCTCACTCCTCTTTCCGGGTCCAGCTGATGGGTATCCACTGTGGTTCATCCTGCGCCTCCTGGATGATGGAGAAGAGCTGTATGCAGGAGTCCTGCAGGTCCTCGTTCACCAGCACGCTGTCGAAAAACTGTTTGTACTTTGCCTCCATCAGCCGGGACACCTCCTCCAGCTCCACAAAGTCTTCCTCCTGCAGGAGGAGGAACATGACGACTCAGTTTCCTGCACTTCAAACTCTCTTTCTAGTTATTTCATGTGATAACAGTGTTGTCATGCTTTGAGAAATCGGAGCTGTAATATGTATGTGGAGCTCTTACTGTGAACACTCTGCTGACAGAGCAGTTGGTGATGATTCGGGCGTCTCTCCGGGTTTCTCTCAGTCTGTCTGGACTCGGAGCTTTGATGAAGATCACGTACGGCTTCAGTTTCCTCGTCCTCAGTGGCAAGATGCTCTGACAACAAAACCAACATCACGGTGTTAATCCACCACTGAAAACAGCCCCCAACTAATGAACTATTTCCTCTGAAGGAAACAAGTCAATTCAATCAATCAATCAATCAATTTTATTTATAAAGCCCAATATCACAAATCACAATTTGCCTCACAGGGCTTTACAGCATACGACATCCCTCTGTCCTTAAGACCCTCACAGCGGATAAGGAAAAACTCCCCCAAAAAAACCCCTTTAACGGGGGAAAAAAAAAAACGGTAGAAACCTCAGGAAGAGCAACTGAGGAGGGATCCCTCTTCCAGGACGGACAGACGTGCAATAGATGTCGTACAGAACAGATCAGCATAATAAATTAACAGTAATCCATATGACACAATGAGACAGAGAGAGAGAGAGAGAGAGAGAGAGAGAGAGAGAGATGCAGGTAATGACAGTAGCTTACAACAACATTAATGAAAGTAATAATATTATAGTTATAGTTCTGGCTACTGTGGTACAATATGTTGAAAGTATGTATTAATATCTGGCAGTATACATGTGTGACAATAGTCATATGTGTATAATAACAGTAGAAGTATGACTAATGACTAATGATGGCAGCAGCAGCAGGAGGCATCTGGCAGGACCACGGCAGCAGCACAACCACACACGTCACGCTGTCCAGGCACCGCTGCGATATGAGTTAATCTGAGAGACAGTGGAGCACAAAGGCTCCGGAGAAGAAGCCGAGTTAGTGACATCCAGAATGGCCGAGTTAGCAAGATGCAGTAATAGGATGAGAGTGAGAGAGAGAGAGAGAGAGAGAGAGAGAGAGAGAGAGAGGGAGAGAGAGGGAGCCCGGTGTATTATAGGGGGTCCTCCGGCAGACTAGGCCTAAGTCAGCCTAACTAGGGGCTGGTACAGGGCAAGCCTGAGCCAGCCCTAACTATAAGCTTTATCAAAGAGGAAAGTCTTAAGTCTAGTCTTAAATGTGGAGACGGTGTCTGCCTCCCGGACCGTAACAGGAAGATGATTCCACAGGAGAGGAGCCTGATAGCTGAAGGCTCTGGCTCCTGATCTACTTTTGGAGACTTTAGGGACCACGAGTAACCCTGCGTTCTCAGAGCGCAGTGTTCTGGTGGGATAATATGGCACTATGAGCTCTCTAAGATATGACGGAGCTTGACCATTTAGAGCTTTATAAGTTAACAGTAGGATTTTAAATTCAATTCTGGATTTTACAGGGAGCCAGTGCAGAGAAGCTAAAACAGGAGAAATATGATCTCGTTTCTTAGTTCCTGTTAGTACACGTGCTGCTGCATTCTGAATTAGCTGGAGAGTTTTTAAGGACTTACTAGAGCTACCTGATAATAGAGAGTTACAGTAATCCAGCCTTGAGGTAACAAAAGCGTGGACCAATTTTTCTGCATCTTTTCGGGTCAGGATAGGCCTAATTTTCGCAATATTACGCAGATGAAAAAATGCAGTCCGTGAGGTTTGCTTTAAATGAGAATTAAAAGACAAATCTTGATCAAATATTACTCCGAGGTTTCTTACGGTAGTGCTAGAGGCCAGAGCAATGCCATCTAGAGAAACTATGTCATCAGATAAAGAGTCTCTGAGTTGTTTGGGGCCAAGAACAATAACTTCAGTTTTGTCTGAATTTAACATCAGGAAATTGGTGCTCATCCAATTTTTTATGTCTTTAAGGCAGTTATGGAGTTTAGTTAATTGATTACTTTCTTCTGGCTTCATCGATAAATACAACTGTGTATCATCCGCATAACAATGGAAATTTATAGAGTGATTTCTAATGATGTTACCTAAAGGAAGCATATATAGAGTAAATAGGATTGGTCCGAGCACAGAACCTTGCGGAACTCCAAAACAAACTTTGGTACGTAAGGATGATTCATTACGAACGTCAACAAATTGAAAACGATCAGATAAATAAGATTTAAACCAGCTTAGTGCTGAACCTTTTAGGCCAATTAAGTGATCCAGTCTCTGCAGTAGAATTTGATGGTCAATTGTGTCAAACGCCGCACTAAGATCTAATAAAACAAGAACAGAGACGAGTCCTTTGTCTGAAGCAATCAGAAGGTCATTTGTAATTTTAACTAGAGCTGTCTCAGTGCTATGATGCACTCTAAATCCTGACTGAAATTCCTCAAATAAATTATTATCCTGGAGAAAATCACACAGCTGGTCTGCGACTACTTTCTCAAGGATCTTTGACATAAAGGGAAGATTAGATATTGGTCTATAGTTGGCTAACACCTCTGGATCCAGGGTGGGCTTTTTTAGGAGAGGTGTCTCCATTAATCAACAATCTTCTTAATGAGACTCACATGTGGTTCGACATCGATGATGCACATCCGTCCTCGTTTCAGCACCTCTTCTATGGCCTCAGCGCTGGTCCCATACAGGTGACCCTTATACTCCCCGTACTCCACAAACCTGACACACATTAACAAATAATCTAAATAATAACAATAAAATCATACCAAAAATAAACCCTAAACAAACAAAAACAGAACAAGTAAACAATCAAAAGATTACCTGTGGTTACAGACCATGTACTCAAACAGCTCTTTGGTGACAAAGTGGTACTCCTTTCCTGACTGCTCCCCTGCTCTGATTGGACGAGTGGTGTCTGGAGGAACAAGGCAACAGCCAGTCAAAACTGGTATGTAATTACCGGGCTCATACAGAATCAGTGCCAATTATGACAATACTCCACAAGGCTGTCACCTCTTGATATCAATAATGTGTAAACTAAAAAATAAATTTTGTCTTAATTTTTTTTCTATGCATCACATAATAATCCATGAGAACATTGAAAACTGTGGTTTAAGTTTGATATGAAAACACGCTTCAACAATATCACTATATTTTGTCTATTTTGTCCTTTCTATCAGTAAAGTTATTAGTATATAAGATCTTTATTATATTATTTTAACTTTAAATGACTGTGTTAGATTTGTGGAGGTCACTTACGAGGTACGGGTCCCTGGAAGGTTGAAGGGTTCAGTTTGATGAGTCGTTTCCTCAGTTCGTTCACTCCAACTCTCGTAGCTCCTGGACAGAGAGAAATATTGGTGGCATCATACACAGAAAAGGAGAATTAACAAACACTGAGAGAAAACAGAATGCTACAGGAACAGTGACAAAAAGGTTCTTATGGTCTCACCAATGAGGATGATGAGGCGATGGTTCTCCTGCGGGGTGCGCTGGTACAGAGCCACCTCCTCATATGGAGTGTACAGGGCGCTGCTGTTGGGTGAGCAGGAGGTGCAGGACTGTCGTCTCCTTCTGTAGGACGTCCTCCTCCATAGACGGAAACTCCGCCGGAAACCGGCTGGTGAGGGACACACCATTCATTCAGTCATTCAATTATTCATCCATTCACTGTATCATTGTCCAAATAATCCAGTGTTTTTTTATCTGTTAAACTGCTGACACTCTCTCAGAGATTAAGTGGAGAAATTGACTTTTGTCTTGACAGTATTTATCCAGTACCACAGTCATTACCTAGAATTAACCAGCATTCTTTAATTCACTGTAGTAAAATAAATAAAATATATTGTCAGTGAACAGAGTTACTAACCAAACTGATGGACATACACAATTAACTGACCAACCAACCGAATAACTGACAGACTAAATGACTGACCGACTGAGCAACAGACTAACTTACTGACTGACCAAATAAGTAATCGACTGACTAAATAAAATAAATGACCAAACAATTACCTGACTGACTAACTGACTAGCTGACAGACTGACTTACTAACTGATTGACCAACCAACAAACTAACTGAGTGACTGACTGACTTACGGACGGACGGACCGACCAATTTACCATCCAACTAAACTAAACTAAACTAATCTAAACTAACTAAACTGAACTAAACTAAACTATAATATACTAACAACTAAACTAAACTATACTAAACTAACTAAACCATGTTATACTATACTAAACTAACTAAACTAACTAAACTAACTATACTATACTATACAAACTAAACTAACTAAACTAAACTATACTATAATATACTAACTAAACTAAACTAACTAAACTATACTATACTAATTAAACTAACGAAACTAACTAAACTAAACTGACTAAACTATACTGTACTAAACTAAACTATACTAACTAAACTAAACTAAATTAAACTAACTAAACTATACTATACTAATTAAACTAACTAAACTATACTAAACTAAACTAAACTAACTAAACTAAACTAAACTAAACTAAACAACTAACTGTTAGTCTTACCCAGGTAGATTCCATCAGTAACATCAGACTCAGTCTCGTCTGAAAGAAGAAACATAATCACAGGAATAAATTTACTGTGAAATATAAACTTCTAAAATATAAACTAAACTAAACTCTCACATACCAAAGTGTATCTCTTCCAGCTCTGTGGAGGAAAACAGAAGATGATTAACTTCAGTCTGTTAAAGCTGTTTTATATATTCATGATTTTGTCCGACATGTTTTACCTGGTACTGAGTGTTTGTCATCAGCCTGAGGTCGATCGTCATCTGGAACAGATGAAAGAAAGCAAGAAGACATTATTTAAACGTACAGTTTGTTTCCACACATTCAGAGTTCAGAATGGTAACCACACATTACACTGTGTTTTGTTTGATGGACACGTGTTCTCTGAGTCTGATTCATGTTGTTGGAAAAACCCTATGAGTTAATGTTCGTTTACTGTGAGAGGAAGTAACAGCAAGATGTTTTGACATTTGTTATTATCAGCCAAAGCAGACTGGTTTGAGTTATACTGTGAAGTATCTGATTATTATTAACAGCTTAAATAACATGCATGACATTACTTATCAGCTTCACCAGTAACATCTCTAGTTTACCCTCCATGCTGATGTAGAAAGTTGCGTCTGATTAGAAAAGGCTTATATGTGACGTACTGTGTGTATATTTGTTTTGCTTTAATACTTGCTATAATATTTTCCGGTAGATGCAAATTAACCATGCAGCTAAGTCTGACTCAACACTTGTGATGTGCATGGCCCATGTTAAAGAAACTAATAAACTACTATATAAACTACTGTGCATGACATGAATGGACACTGAGGTGTGTAACAGTAACACTAATGAAAATAAAAACCTCTAGATACCGTGGTCACATGCACATTCAGCTTTAACACCTGTGCACGTACAGTAACACCGCTCCTTGACTCATTATTCACAGCGCATGAAGATACTTTGATACAGTCACATGAAAAGACACAAACCAAATAACATCAGATACAGTAATAAGATCTGTGAGCTGTGTCACTCACCATTATCAGTCAGAATCACTGGGGACAGACAGCAGGTCAACACACAGAGAAGAGACATGTTGTTAAAGTTTAAAGTCACATTCACAACATTTATAAACAGAAACAGTAACATGTTGCTATCATGATGCTGTCAGTTTGTGCTGTATCTGATCTTTATGTCATTTCAGTTAATGTTTAATAATATTTTTTTTCTTTCTTCTTTTTTTTAAGATTATTTTTAGGCTTTATGGCCTTTATTTGATGGGTCAGTGTTAGCAGGAAGGACAGAGAGAGAGAGGGGATGAAATGCAGCAGAGGGCTGCAGGTCGGAATCGAGCCTGTGGCTGCTGCTGCAGTAAGGACATAGCCTGCTCTACCAGATGAGCTACTTGTCACCCTACAATATCCTGTTATATAAATAAACAAACCATATTTGAGTTCCGTGTCCACTGAACCAGCTTCACATTGGCAACTTTATATGCTTATCATTTAAGTTAGTGATAGTGATGCTGAGTGCTCACAGGGTTTGATGCAGGTATGAACCTGTGACGGCTGACACCACCAGTGTTCCCTCTGTTTACTGCAGACAGACAGACAGAATTGGAGGATAAATCATAATTAAAACATGCAGCTACAAACTCCATGTTTCCACAAAAGATCTACAGTTGAGTCGTAATAATTGAGGATGTGTTTAGGTGATATTATCAAGTATCATGTCACCTCTTCAGCATGCTGGCAGAGGGGATGAGACCAGCACAGGACGCAGCGGAGCGCAGCTTCCTGGCCTGCCACCACCGTCCGTCCGACTGGTCGACCACCTCCAGCAGGTCTCCTCTGCTGAACGGCATCCCTGCATCAGGACACGGGATGGAGGAGTCCTGCAGGGGGCAGTAGTCCACCATCGCCCTCATGAACACCTGACAGACACACAGAAAACTGACTGTGATATACTAGGAATGACTTGTAAAGTGCTGTATTCCAATAGCTGAAGATGCTTTATTGTTGAGGAGACCAGTCTCCAGTATAAATGAGTATCTGTTGTTTTCACAGACTTATCATAAAGACACAGAGGCAGTCTGTGATGTCAACAACGTGTGATTTTTATATTCACATTTACAGTGAGTTTAATGTGATTCTACATATGTTTAGTTGTGACTTCTCCCATCGTCACTAGAGGGCAGCAGAGACACAGAATTATCATCTGAGCATGTTTGGTGGGTGCAGTACTCACACCCTTCACTACTGTATAATTATTAATATCACAACATGAAAATACTCCACTACAAGTTACAGCCCTGCATTCACAATCTTCCTGCAGTAAAAGTATTTACGTTTTATCAGCAAAATTAACTTAAAGTATGAAACTGTGAAGTAAAATGTGTTTTTGGATTAAATCACTGCTGCATTAATGTGTATGTTGTATTTTACTGCTGTAGATGTTTAATGTTGTGCTGATTGAAACTGTCAGATAAATGTAGTGCAGTAAAAAGTGCAATATTTACTGCTAAGATGTAATTGAGGAGAGGTTTAGTGTTGCATAAAAAGTACAAGTACCTCAGATTTGTGCTGATGTACAGTACTTAGTTCCAACACTGGATGGATATTTCTTACCGACTTCTGGCTGCTGCTGCTCTGAGCTGCGTCAGGAATTACTTTAAACAGGATCGTTCCCTGAGAATTAATCTGCAAACACAACAAACAGTCAATAACTGATAAGTTATCGATAATCAGATGAACGTCACAAGTAGAAACATCTGCAGTCACCACACAGGAGATGTTCCTCATTCTGTTTTTTGAATTTACTTGTTTGCTTAAAATTGTGCACCAATAGTTTTCTTGTCATCACAAGAAATTAGAATTAACTGTATCTTTACCTATGTGGAGAAGCTTCAGAGGAAAAAGCAGATCAATATCAGGTAATAAGGTAAAAGTTTATTGTTATAATGAGGTTTTTCACTTTTTAATATGATGAAACTTAGATTGTTAAAACAATAAACTACTGATCTTGTTTCAATGTGAAAAGTTTAATGCAAAAACGTGATAATTTATTGTTATAACATAAAATGTTTTACATGATAACATGATGACATGATAAACTCGTGTTTAAGTAAGGAAATGATGTGATGACAAGGATAAATAAAGTGATGTGGTTCATTTACATGATTTGATTAAAGGTTCAGTGTGTCAGGTTTAGGGGGCTTTGGCAGCGTCTGGTGGTGATGATTACAGATTGTAACAGTTGTAGCCAACATGAAGATGGGAATGTCCCTATCTAGAGCCAGTGTGTGGTTTGTCCGTTCTGGGCTACTGTAGAAACATGGCAGTGCAACATGGTGAAAGGCAAGGACCTGCTCCCTATGTAGATATAAACGTCTCATTCTAAGGTAACGAAAACACAACTTTTCTTATTTTCAGGTGATTATACACTGAAGAAAACAAACTTATTATATTATATTCCATTTCTGTCAATTTATGCCCCTAAATTCTACACACTGGAGTTTACGTCATTTTTACGTCATGACTGGATTGAGACATGGTGAGATTTTGCTGGTACTGAGTGGGGTGTACCATACCGTGAAAATATGTGCACTTCATTAAGAAGAATTTTTACAGTTCTCAGGTCAAAATCAGCAGGAGGAGGCGTGTAGGAACAGCTGTTTCTAAGAATAAGCTCGCATAGAAACGCGAGCTGTAGCAACGCAAAAACCACAACCATAAAGCTTCATTCTCATTAAAAACAATTACAAGACGGTGCCTGCAGTTGCTGAAACACTTTCTGTTTGATCAGAGCCTTATTCTGCTGCGTACTGATAAATTCATGGCGCTGTCCTGTGGTGCTGACGAAGCAGGTGATTCATAGTTGTGACTTTTTCTCTGTTGTACTTTCTGCCTTCTTCGGTCTTTATTCAGTGAAATTCATGTACTGATTTTTCTCTTCAGTTGACCTACCAGAATCTGGATGACCTGTTCCGGCTCCAGACCCACCACAGGGTTTCCATTCACCTCCACCAACAGATCACCAGGATGGAGGAGTCCTGAAACACATGAACACACGTTATTACACATTTCAACCACATTTGATTCATCATCATGTCTGTGGTATTGTACTTAATACTTAAAATTACGGTTTTATCTCACCGCTGCGGTCAGCCAGTCCTCCATGAATCACCCTGGCGATGTAGATCTCTCCTGTCTCCTCGTCCCTCCTTATTGTCGCCCCCTGACAGACAGTTAGTCCAAATTTATCACCTTCAGTGACTACATAAACAGACACTGCAAGCTTTTAGTACAGAAGCTCTGTATAAACAACAGAAGGGAATGTAAAATGGGAGGGATACAAATGGAGGAAGAGATGAAAGCAACTGATGACTGCAGAGACCTGGTAAGCTCACTTCTTTCTAACTCCACACCTCCAGATGTTTTTACTTTTAACTATGGTAGCCTTCAGCTGACGCGGACATTTATCAGGCTTCACAAACATCACTCTGGAGACAATAAAGATTCATACTACTTTAAAACATGTGCAGAAGAAATCCACAACACCTGGAAACACACACTAAAGTGGAAAATCCCTGGAGTTCAAATTTGCATCATAATTATGCAGACGACATCCAAATTTACCTTCATCTGTCACTTAGCAACCACTGACCCAAATGACTGAATGATTTGATGAGTCTGCATTTCCTTTAGTTAATCATGGACAAATTAAGATAAGAAAGGTGCAGACTAACACATGTTTGATTGTCTGACAGGAGAAACTGTAAAGAATAAGAGACAGACAATGATGAGAAGTTTTAGGGATAGACGGATGAAATGGGAGATGCTGTACCTTGAAGGATTTTACTCTTCCCTGTCGAGTGATAAATCCATAGTCTCTCAAAAGTGTTTGTTATCCAAGAGATGATATCAGCCTGCGTCTGTTTCATGGTTAAACTTTTATAAAAATGGTTAGGATGTAGATCTATATTAAAAAAAGGTATTTGAGTCAGTTTCAGAGTCTGTTTTCCGCCACAGCAGGCAAGGAGAGGAGATGCTTGTTTTTGATCTACTTATTCTTTTTCTTCTTCTTGGTTGTCAAGCAGCCAGTGCTGTTACAGTCTTGGTCCTCCAGAGGAGCTCCGGAAACTGTTCCGTTGTTGAGCCTCACTTGTCCATTACTACCTCCGCCACCTGTCCTGTGGGTGGCACCAAACGTCACCACCGTCTTCTTGGATCCTCCATTCATTCGATTTTGACTCCTTGATGTTGTGAAGCCGTTTGCACACGAACTAACCGACGTAGATGAAGATGAAGAGGAGCAAGACGAGGAAGAGGAGGATGTGACATGACGTGGGTAAGGTGTGGGAGGTTTGCACACCACTTTTGGAGACATTGAGGACACCCTCGGTGGAGGTGGTGGAGGAGTGCGTTGTTTGGGCCGGCGTGGAGGCGACACCTCGGGGTGTTTGCTGGCTACAATGAGCCCCTGCAGTTTGTCCACCACCTCCACCAGCAGGTTGAGCGCCTGGGCATTCTCCTCTGCACTGTCTACAATCATCTCGGTCGCCGCCACCATCTTCTGGCCAAGATGGCGGACATCCTGAGTTCCGTGCTCCATGCTGCTGGCAACTGTCTGAACAGTGGACCTGAGCTCCTCCACGCTGCACTGTTTGGTGAGCTCAGGATGAGGAAGCCGTTTTGGCTGCTGCTGGTTTCGTGTCTGTTTTGGCTGCTTCTGGCGTCCGTTGTGACGAGGAGAAGTAGAGTACTTGGTCATTGAGGGATGACTCAGAGGCTCTTCTTGGCATTCATTATGAGATCCAGTTTGACCCCCAGGTTGCCTGGCAGGGGAGGGGAGGGTGCTAACGCCCTGCTGCCGTGTAGAGCGATGATGCGCAGGACTGGAGGGTGCTGTGTGGGCTCCAAGTGGACTAATCCCAGTACAAGAGGGGCTCCTGCCAGGTGTAGGGATGTTTCTCGACTGTCCCCCTGCAGCCGCCTTTTTGTACAAGACAGGGGAGTTGGGGAGGCTGAGACTGTACGCTGGGACTGGAGGAGGAGGGTAAGCGTAGTCATCACTGCTCCCTCCAGTCGAGCCGCCTTCTCTGCCGGCATGATGGGGTTTCTCTGAAAATGAACCTCCATGTTGGGAGGAAGATGAAGACGAGAAAGAAAGAGCCCAAAGAAAAGTGAAAAACACGTCACTGACAGAGAACAGCAGTTCAGGAAAAAGCAAAAAAGGAGGCGAATGATGGTGGGATGAAAAAGAAAGATGACGACTTGGGGACGACTGAAGGGAGGTGAGGATAATAACTACATTTGAAAGATACATGATGGATGAACTAATGTCTTCCAACACATTTGCTGGACAAACCAAAAGACGGAGTTCATGACAAATGCAAAGATCGCTGAATAAATAAATGGATGGACGGATGGAAAGATGTTGGGGCCCATATTTATCAGGCGTCTCAGAGCAGGAAATCAGTCCTATTCATTAATTTCCGGAACTGCTTATCCTGCTGGGGGATATGCATTCTCACTCCTAACTCATCAGCCCTCAGCATCTGATACCAGTGCACTGAGGCACCCTTTAGCATCTGTACGAGACGCAAAGGGCAGGTCATTATTAGACACTCAGAGAAACTGACATAATACTTTCACTACTTTCAAAAAGACACTATGCATGTAAGGGGTGGAAACTGACACGCTGTCCCTGAGTGTCCAAAACTGATGCTAAAGAGGTCACTAGAGTGTAACATTTTGAAGCGTTGGGGCCACTGACCAAGTGCCGAAGTATGAATGTGTTGGAATATTTGGGAGATCTCCAGATCTTCAGTCCTCACCTGCTGGGCGCAGCCAGGAGTTGTTGTTCAGGTAGAGATGAAGCGCACGATGACAACGAGCCTTGTGCAGGATGCGAAAGAGAGCTCCTCATAACAACACAGTGATTTATTTCCCATAATAAAACCTAAAAAGCATCATCACCTGAAATATTTTCCTGCTGTTTCCTGTGTTTTGATTGATGGTCCTCTGATAACTCTAACACCTGATAAATACGCCCCCCTGCTGGATGGACTGATGATCCTTGTGATTGGACGTCTTGATGACAGATCAAACAAAGGATGACTGAATGAATTCAATGGACGGATGAATGATGATTGCATTGATTGACAGTTCTCCTCCTCTTACCAGTGCAGGGGGCGGAACTAAAGACAGAGGGAGCTGATTGGTTAAGCCCTTTCTTCCAAAGCTCTGCAGGCTGCGGACACAAACAGCAGCTTCCTGTTGACTGGTAACGGGGAAGAAAGGGATGTGACTGTCCTCCTCGGGGGAGGGGCAGAGGCCTGGCTTCACTCTCAGTCACTCTGAGCTCCTCCCCCGACCATGCCCTCCTTGCAGGGACAAGCCGGTCTAATGTGAGGCGACGGATGCTGCTCCAATGACTGCAAATCACTCCCACTCTGTCTCCAGCACTTCCTCTGTGCTCTCCTCCGTTCTTAGTGAACAAAAGATAAAAGAAAGATCTCCTCTCATAGTTTAAATTTAAATAACCATCTGTAATGCAGCAAAAAGTCAGCGCTTGACTGATGACTGAATAGATTCTATCTGATCAGTGCAATCAACTATTCAAATGTATGTCTCTGTCACAACAAATGACAAAACAGAGAGAGGACTTCAGGAATTTGCTTTAAATGTGCAAGTTTTACCTGTTCTTTTAGAAAAGCTACTCAAGTCAGTTTTAATGCAATAACTCTCTGAGTACATTTCGGCTGGGCTTTTATTGTGAAGGGTAAAAGGGTAATTTGCTGCTGATGACAAGGTGGAAATTAAAGAGTGTTGTGTTCTTGGTTCACACTGGTTCAGAGTACAGAGTCTCCCTGTTCTCATTTTAATATCTGCATAAGCGTAGGCGCAACTTTATATAAACCTCTGCTACAATGCGAATTCACAGGAAGAGGCTGACAGAGGAAACGTTACATGTTCTGTATGTCAAAAGTTACTCTGTAAAGGTGTTTCCATATCCGATTCAAATCACGTCAACTCTTCCTCCACAAAGTGAGTGTAAAAAGGATTTTGCACAGTTGAGGAAGTTTTTATCAGATTTTGCTGATTCCATAAAAGTTTTCTAACATGATGTTTTCTAACCACTGATGCTGACAATGAAGGGTTGAAAGCAACACACTGACTGCACAACTTACACCAGTATAATCTCACTTCTCTACTAACACGGGCTTATATCATTAGAGCAATTAACCACTACCATCACACACACATTCTACTTAAATAAGTAGATCCTCTTTCTCACCAGCGGCTGGTTGTTCTTCACCAGACAAACGATCCTCATGGCCTCCTCATCCTCAGGCATCTCATCAGGCAGAGGAGGTAAGACAGGTCCATAGTCTGACTGGGCCACACTGTCGTGGGACGACAGGAGGGCCTGATAGACGGAGACAGCTGTTACAACAGAGCATCAGACATGAGTTCCTCAAAAGCTCCTGAACGAGTGACTGACACACACCTGGATGTGAGGTGAGCTGAGGAGGCTGTAGAGCTCTCTGGCTTCAGCGGAGGGACGGTGGACCCTCTGTAAAGTGGTTATAATCTGATGGACAGTAAGGCAGACAGACAGACCGTCAGACAGTCAGACAGACAGACAGACAGACAGACAGATGCTCTGACAGTCAAAACAAAAGCAACCAGATCAGATTGTGTTTGTTTGTGTGTATAAACCTCATGTGAGAGTCCTGAGGCGTAAGGCAGGATAGGTGTGGGCGTCGACCTCTCAAACTGCAGCAGGCAGTCATAAACCTGGAGGAATAAAACAGGAAATTATGTCACGGCTCGACATCTTCATGGTGCGTCTATTTTTAGTGGCGAGTCTGATGAGTAAGGTCATACCTTCAGTAGAGCGCGAAGCCACGGTGAATTGAGCAGTTCATGCAGGAGCTCAGCTCCACCGATGTTTCTGCTGATGGCGTGACTGACGTCCTCCACCACACAGGATAGCACCTCACTGACGCCTGCACAAACACAGGAGGCACAGGGAACACGCCGCCCTCAATATTAGAGGACTTTTATCTTTTATCAGGACCCCCACCTCCTGTTTCATATGTGTCCTCCCCAATGATGAAACAAAACTTACACCCTTGCGACTAGAACATGTTCTACAGGCTTTGATGTTCAAAAAACACTTTATTTTCCTGATCCTGTCTGTGCTGTAACTCCTGTATTCAGCCTCTGACACTGTTCTAGCAACTGTCTCTTTAAAGCCCAAACTGACCAAACGTTAGTCGACCAGAAAGGTCATTTGTCGGCAAGAAAAAAAAAAAAAAAAGTGAAACTCTCAGGAGCTGCGCCTTGTCAAAATAAATCCAAACCTATGTGACTGGACCGTGTAGGACTTTAATTAGAAAGGACAGACACAGGAAGTGTCCACGCTCAGCAGTCAGACAGGAGTCAGATTAATTTCCAGGGCTGGTACCTGCGGTTATTCCACAGGCTAGTTAAAAACATGTCGGGCAGGAAATCCAAAGTGTGGGATCATTTTGAGAAGGTGAAGGACGAACCCAAGGTGATATGTAAACTCATCTTCATTGGTCGACTACAAACATGACGTATCATCTGAAACATGGAAGTAGCTACATGCCCATTAGCCCACAGCGTCATTAACAGGCGGCTCGCTCAGTGTGTGACGTGCACTTGGAGATAAAATATAGGCCTATATTAATGAAGGTTCATTAGTGCGGTTTGTATTTCTCTGTAATGTAGCACAGTGTTAACAATGTTACTGAAACTATTCTTTCTCACACCTTCAACTCAAACCACCAAAATAACAGAAATAACAGAAACATGCAGTCAAGACTAGTCCATTGATGGACCTCAATGATGACTATTGGTCGACCAGGCAAACTCTTAGTTGGAGGCAGCCCTACACCAAACCAACTTCAAACCAACTTCAAAGAACTAGTGAAACAAAACTAACGAAAGCCCCTGCTGCAATGCCACACATAGCCTTCTCTCAAAATGCATCTGAACACACACAGAGACTACAGGTCTGGCCATGTTTCATGTGAACATCTGAGACTGTAACTTTATATATACGACAGAAAATTAGGAAAAGCATAAGAGGTGCCCTTAATAAAGACACTGGAGTGTCACCGTGTTAAATAAGAAGTCAGCAGCTGACTTTAACATGCAGCAGACTGAATATTGTTCGGACAGTGTGTAATATGACAGCAGATGTTTTAGCCTGATCGTTTCTCCTGAGTAGAGGGTGAAAAACAGACATGTTTGGTTCAGACAGGATTAACGACACTGAGGAGCCGTGACCCCGCAGAGACACACTAATACCTTCTGAATTAGGTTTCAGATTAGATTAGATGGAAATTAAAACCAAATCTGGATTTAGACTCGAGTTCAGGGTGAAAACTGAACTCGCGTCAGACAATAAACAATGAAGGAAGTCAATGAAGGTCAGATATACAGCTGTGTGTGTGTGTGTGTGTGTGTGTGTGTGTGTGTGTTTGTTTCTCACCGTCCTCCATGGCTTGTTTCATGGTGATCGTCCAGACTCACCGCAGAGGACAAAGGCTTCTTCCACTGAAAATAAATATAAAACAAATGTTAGTGTGAATCAGTCTGATCTGATCTGAGGTGACGGGGTCGTAACTTAAAACACTGAATGATCAACATCATTTAAAAACACAGTAGTAAGTGAGCCCATTGCCATGTTTTCACAGTGGCCCAGAACGGACAAACCAAATACTGACTCTGGAACACTGACAAAATTCTAACCAGGAGAAGTTTCAGCTGGTTGCAGTCTGTAATCATCACCATTAAGTAAAGTTAATAGTATTAAAATGTAGTAAATATAGTACAAAATGTGTAGCAATTACAATTGTAAAGTAGCATTAAAAGGAAAAACCCACATACAAGTACCTCAAATCTGTACTTAAAAGCAGTACTCGACTAAATGTACTTAGTTACTTTGCACCACTGCTGGTATTGATCTACAACCTTCAATTCATGGTGGATTAACTTTCATTCTTTTGGTTGGTAAAGTCTGAATTATCAGCCCTTGAATGTAACTCAAGAGGAGCTGATGAGATGTGAGATATTCTTCTGTCAGTGTTAATGATGTACAACTCTGTCACACTCAGCTGAAAGGCAGCACAGAGACAGAAGGTGAATGAAGTGAATGATTTAAACACAGCTCGTGTTATTTTGGTACTTCCTCTGACAGCAGCAGGTAACTAAATGTGGCCGATGTTAGCGCTCCTCTTTAGCTTCTTATCTTGGCTCAGCTTCCGTTTCCACTTACGCTCTCCAGGAAGACCTTCAATTAACCAGATCTAAAAGTCATGAAAAGCCAACTGAGAGCATCACGCAGCCCCACAGAGCCTCGAAGGCACAAGAACCTAAAGCTCAGGACTGTTCCCACAGGTTATACAACACTACAAACTAAAACTCAGTGAAATAAAGGAGTGTCTTAATCTATGTTTGAGGTTTTAACAGTAAAATGATCGAAATAAAGACTGATTTTTGTCTGAGGTGGAAGGAATAAGTTTAACCAAAATGTTTTTGTAAAAGTCGTGGCTTATTAGGAGGCACTGAAAACCAATACAGACATTTATGAATGTGTTAGCTTCAAGAACAACTCAATAACTGCCAAGACAAGTTTTTAATTTTACCTACAGGATTTAACTAAAGCCTTCTTTTGAGTTATCTCATCAACGCAGCAGATGGGTCATGGTTTTCTTTGGTTAAGTTTATGAAATGGGAGTAAACGCTACAATATTCATCAGCATCTGTGCTTGTTCCTACACAGAGGACATTAGTCAAATCAGCACTGTGAGATCAAACTAAACAAACGCAGCAACTCCAAAACTTCAATTTTAAGTTCAATCTTGAATTCCTGCAAACTCCCAAAGTTCTCCATTTTCCTCAACAAAGCTCCATCAGAGACAAAAAATGTTTTAAATGTGTCAAAGTAGCTACATTTTAAAAGTGATGCAATCAGACACAAAGTCAATGGAAAAACTGTCACTAGCTGAAACTTCTCCTGATTAGAATTCCTTCACTGTTCATTGTTCAGGAGCTGAATTATCCACAGAGGTCTCTTTCTCTACAAAGCAAACAGACCAGCTGATTTAAACCAGTAAAAACACTGAATGTGTCTGGTTTTGAGGCTCATGTAACCACTGTTCATACCGTGGAGAGTTTTATTAGTAAACTGTAACTATAAAATGAAAGGATGTGTTGCTGCCTCTCACAGCAGCTGGAGTCTGACAAAAAATAACTTCATTCACTGGGCCGACTGCCGGCGACTTTTAAGGTGGAACGTTAACTTGTAATGTTACTCAATGCATGAGTTGATGACGTGAATCCATCAGCACACCTTAAATTTCACTGTGACAACTTTAACTGTTCCATCAGTTTTTATTGTCTCTCTTGGATGACACGTTTAGTAATGAGTGGATCTTCAAGTGTTTATATAAATATTTATTTGGACCCAGTTGTGTGAACTGCATATATTCTAATCCTACAGCAACACTAAACCCCTGAGCTTGCCTGAGAAGGACTAAATGCACAAAGCTGCTATTTTTAAATATCCCATGGAGAGAGACTCTCACTGCAGCCTGTTCTATTTTGTTCTGAAAATGTGGGCGTGCAGCCTCGTTCTGTGGACGATAAACCAGGTGCAGACTGATAAAGGAGGAAATACAGTGAGTGCTGGACGGAGCAGTGAGTGACAACAAACCCACCCACATTTAAGGGCACTGGGTCTAGGTACCATGTCTGAAGGGTTACTGGATCCAAAGGTACTGTACTGGAAGTGTTGGGTGGAAACAGGACTTTAGGTAACAAAACAGGATTCTTATTTTCAGGTGATTATACACTCAAGAAAACATACTTATCAGATTATATTGTATTTAAAGCCTACACTGGAGCTTTCAGTGGGTTGAAATATTATTTTTATTCTTAAGGGTATAATGTTGAATTCAGGGTAGGATTTTTTTGCAGCGCACAAGACTAAAAGCTGTTCAGACAGGAAGAGCAACAAACTCTCTGCTGGTTGTAACTCAATAATCACTGTGCTGCACAGCCACATAGCTGTGAACAAAAGCTGTGCAGCTTTCTTTGAACTGTGTGTTTTTCGCTGCAGCTGCAGTCATGTTTCCAGTCACACTTGGGAATTGTCAGAAATCAGAGCCTGGGCAGTAACTTCTGGTGTCAGACACCAAGGAAAAAAGCTGTCCTTTCACGTCGGCACGATACCCGGCCAGTCGTCGTTATTGTTTAAAGGTAATGAAGCTTGTGGCTGGATATGCTGTGGATGAAGTGTTGCTCCACGAGTGACTCTCTGTCTTTCGCTCGGATCCTTGGGAAAATACCGGTCACAGGCAACTTAACACCTCCAGGTAAAAAAAATCAAATAAATAAAAAAAATAGCTATCTAGCCTCAGCTACACTTACCTGGGATCACCCTGACACTCACACAGAGGCACACGTCAGATTTTTGGGGATATACGCACTTACCAGTCTCATGGGGTGTAACAGAATAGTAATGTAATGAGTAGTGTAACAAATTACGGTCGACAGGGAGTAATAAGCAAAGTAATATTATTACTTTTAAAAGAGTAATGTGTAATATATTATATTTTTAGAGTAACAAGCCCAACACTGTTTATAACTGATGCAAAGTCCTCGTCTACAGGAAGTGAATTTATTGTTGCATGGGCTGACCAAACGTCCTCTTTTGCCCAGACATGTCCACTTTTGACATCCTGTCTGGGGTTGATGATAATGTCCGGTTTTCCTTGTGTGTGTGTGTGTGTGTGTGTGTGTGTTAGAGTGCGGCACGGGCCGAATATTTCTGTCCGAACCCGACAGTCATTCTGTTTTGTTATGTCCGAAACCGAACCGAGCCCGACATTATTTAATGACCAAAGCACTGAGTTTGTGTCACACAGTTGTTAAGGTTACAGGCTATTTAACAGGCTGGATGTGAAACATGGGTGCTCAGCGGAGAGGGAGACCTCCATGTTTGAGACGGGAGCGGGAGGCGGGAGGTCCGAGGCTTCCATCGAGGGGAGCGGGAGAAACAAACAGCCAGTGTGTGTGTGTGTTGTGTTCAGGTGTTGTCACATAAATAACAGTCCCTAAGCAACAAACAGGACAGACAATAGGATTTTATTTATTTTTACACTACATTTTCACTGAAAGCTGACCAAATCCGACCCGAGCCCGAATACAATTTATACATTTTTGACCGAACCCGTCCCGACCCGTCGGGTACCGTCGGGCTCAGATCGCCACACTCTAGTGTGTGTAGCCTATGTGTCCCCTATAGAGGCCTATCTGAATTTCTGTCTTTGAGAGATATTATTTTGTAATATAACTGAATTTTCTATCCATACATATAAATTTTAAATATATTAAAATTATAAGGCATCTTTGAGTAAACTGCGAGTATCATTTAAGTAGGCTATGTCATGGCCGGGCCGAGTGTCCTCTTTTTTGGAAATCAAAATATGGTCACCCTATGTTGCACCACAAAGAACTTTGCAGTGTGACGTCACTCTGGTGTTCTGCTCCACAAGTTCAACTGTTGCATAGATGCTAAAAAAATTGTTTCCCAGAGCATGATTCTTGTTGTCCTTCATGTCGCTCCATCATCAGATCAACATGTTTATGTGTCCAACACTTTGGTTTATGACCAACTACCTACAGAACTGAAGATGTTCAGCCTCAGCTGGACTAGTTAGCTAATGTTAGCATGCTAACACATGATAAGAGTGACGTGGTGAATATTGCACCTGCTAAATGTTTCCATGTTAGCATGCTGATGTTAGCATTTAGCTCAGAGTGCAGCCTCACAGAGCTCAGTCCTTGTACACAACACAGACAGACTGTCAAATAAAACCTACTCACCACCTCTTCGTCCTCGTCTTCCTCTTCTGGTCCAGTTTGTTTCAGTGTGTGAACTCTGAGCTGAAGTGAATCAGCAGAGTGAGCGTGTCAGCAGCGGCCAGTGGTCACTGACATGGATGTGATTTTACTACCAAACCAAAACAGACACTAATCCTCTTTAACCCGCCTTAATCCACCAACCACCAACCTCTCTCCTCCTCTCCTTCGCTTTGCTTTCTTCTGCTGTTTTTAAAATCTTTGTCTGTCCCCTCCCGTCCTCCGCTCACTCACTCCATCTGTTTCTAAATCTACAACCTCTCGTCACCTCCTCACTCGTTCATCATGGAGCTTCCTCATTCTGTCATATTCTCGCTCTCTCGCTCACTTTAAGTACTTCAACAGATCACAAAGCTTCTTAACTCTTTACTGCTTTTAGCACACACACACACACACACACACACACACACACGGCAGGTCAGACATGCAGCAGCAGCAGGCACCACAGTGTTAAGAGGCCAACACACAGAAACTGTAGTTGCGATTCATTAAATCCTACTGCAACATCTGTGTGTGTGGGTGTGTGTGTTTGTGTGTGTGTGTGTGTGTGTGTGTGTGTGTGTAGGGGGTTACGACAGAGTAATGGTCACTGGGTCACCTCCATACAGATTAATGCTGATCCTTCAGAAACAGAGAGATGCCACACATCCAGGCAGATGTAAGAAAACATGGCCGCCAACAGAGGAGACGTGTTTTGTGCAGCTTTTTTCCCACAACATCAAACATTTGCTATGAAAATTCACAAATAACTGTTAAAAGAATCTCATGTAGCCAGACTTATCTCCAATTGGCGTTTCAGTGCTAAAGAAAGGTCTGGGAACAGCGATTATCTTCCTGCTACAGGGGAAAAAACGCTCTGGCTTTGCCCACCAAACATATGAAAATGTCCAAGTACAGCTGGGACTATGAGTCAGTTAATGAAGTGACAGATAATTGAATACATTTCCCGCTATACTGATGATCATCAAAGTCATTTTGTTATGCAGATTTTTTTTATCATGGCCAGCATGCTGTCTGACATCACACACTGGAGCGACATGATGCTACGGTCATTTGGTTCTGTGTCAAATGCAAAGGAGGCATAAAGACGGGACTTCATGGCGGCTCTGTCTTGCCCCTTGGTGTAATTATCTTCGGTCTGTGGCTTCATGTCTACTACCGAATCCCAGCCGTGATGATATTGAATGTGATGATATTTCTTAATTCATTAAACTTTTTATTTGTAGGAGAAATAGTAACTGTTATGTTACATCTTATTTCAAAGTTACAAAGTGTTTCTTAAATGTTTCTTTTTGCAGAATAAAGCCTCCTACAGACTTCAAATAAACTTGGGTACAACAGACTGCACGATGACAGCGCCTACTGAATCACAGGACAGAGTTCCGGAACTTTTACAGGGGCTCAACAAGTCCCTGCCTCGGAGTAGGTACTCAGAACGGCCCCGACTTGGGGTTTACTTGGGTTTACTTGGTGCTGATTGGATATACTCAAGGCGGAATGTGACGTCAACAGAAAGCAACAAAATAGCCGACATTTTTAAAACTCAGCAGACGAGGGTTAGCTCGTTCATATAGCTTCCACCGCCATGTAAACAAACTCAATAACCGGTCCGTGAAAAACATATTTTTTCCAGCGGATATCTTAGTTACAACATGATTGAGCTAGCAAAGCAGTTTTGTGTTGCTATGTGTGGTATTTATTCAGTTTTGGGAAATCACGATGTCTAGAAAGCATCAGCTGACAGGGACAGCTAACAGCAGCAGCAAAGCTAACATCAGGACGTCATCTGTTAAAAGCCTCCTGTTGTCCGCTACAACATGAAACTACTCCAGTTAGCTCAATCATGTTGTAACTAAGACATCCGCTGGAAAAAATATTTTTTTCACGGGCCACTTTGTGAGTTTAGTGAGTTATTACAGATACCGCTATCGGCTAACAGCTAACAGTGTCCCTAAGCCACTACGTCGCCCCGGTCAAAATGGTCGCGCAACGATTACGTCACATCTAGAGCCCGGTAACTTTACAGGAACCTTCCTCCTACTCCACTCTCTCAGTGGAGACACGGCGGTTGAGAGGGCCGAGCGAGAGGACGTTCCTGTAGTAGATCCTGCCCCCCAAATAGTACCAGGAACTTCTTCAGTGGAAACGAGCCTTTTATGTGTGAAAAAGTCTGAAGAGGAGGAGGAGAACGTGGATGCGGTCATGGTCGGGGGAAAGAGGCCAACTTGACATCACAGTTTTTCAACAAGAACTCGAAGTGTATTTATTAGCATCTACTAGCATTGAACATTGTCATGCTGATCAGTGTGTCATTTCATGCTTCATTTCTATTAGTTGGTTAGTAGACATAGATGGTATCAGCAGTCGCACAGTGAGATGGTCATCCCAAAACATCCGTCCTTGAACCTCTCTCACTGTGTGATGTAGGACCACCGTTTTAGAGCCGCAACCGAAGATATCACCATGTTTCTATAATGCTGGTTCTCTTTCATCTGGGACAACCCAAAATCACACAGTGTATACCAGGCTTAAAGGAGCAGTGCGTAGCATTATGAGGGATATGGCGTCTAGTGGCGAGGATTGCACATTGAAACCAGCTGACACTTCTCCTGGTTAGAATTCCTTTAATGTTCATTGTTCAGGAGCTGAATTATCCACAGAGGTCTCTTCCTCTCCAAAACAAACAGACCAGCTGATTTAAACCGGTAAAAAAAAACAACCCACAGTTAAATCAGTTTCATGTTAAAAATCAGTGTTTTTCTGACACTGCTCAGCACAGAGGGGCTGCTAACTACAGTGGTCAATGTGAAAACATGAATGTCCCTATCTAGAGCCGGTGTTTGGTTTGTCCGTTCTGGGCTTCTGTTGAAACGGTTCAACATGGTGACGTTCGTAGATGAGGACTTTCACCCTATGTAGATATAAACAGGTCATTTTACAACACATTCTCACTCTGACCTCGTCACATATCAACGTTTGGTCATGGACTTTACACGATGACATATGACGTCCAAGGTACCCTGGGTGTGTTGGTTGTTGACATTCTGGGACGGCGTGTCAACTTCAGCCTGTTACATGCATTGTCTTCTGTGAAAATTCACTTCTGTTTTTTCACAGGAAATGTACAGTTTGCATACAGTCTCTTTCAAAATAAAAGCACTATGTTGAGTTATTTTCCTTCAACAACATATGCACAAGGTTAGGTTTAGGTTTAGACAAAAAAAAACAAACAGGGATTGGCTTTATAATCATGCAGGAAGTGAACATCAGCCTCATGAGTGAAAGTCAGTGGTTGTTGGACCTATTCACCATCTCTCCGGCATGCCCTACTTGGACTTTTGCCCCTTTTACTTTCGTTGTTGTCCGGCTGCGTTTCCCCCTGACGCCGGTGGGGGCTGTTAAACAATAATGGCAACTGGCCCCGTATCATGCCGACATGAAAGACTTTTTTCTTTTGTGTTTGATGCCAGAAGTCATTGCCAAAGGGCCAGTATTCGACAACTTCGGAGTGAGACTGGGTTTCACTCTAAGATAACAATATATCCCCCTAAAAGTGTTCGTCTACCAACAATGATAACTACAACAATAAATAATAACCAAAATAAAAGGCATTCACATTCACTTTATTCATTTAACTTTGTAGATTGTTTAAAAAAACAAAACAAACAGTTAATGCTTTCCAAGTGTTATATTTTATCAAATTATTTATATCATATTATCTTGCTGTTGAACAGTGTTTGTAAACAGGCTGAAGTTGTGTTGAAGTGTTTAATTGCTCTCAGAGGACAAACAGATAATGACCTGTTGACCATCTGACATAATGACTGTGATACTAACTTTATTACTTGTTACTGTCAAAGTGTTTTGGTGTGTTTGTGATGTGTGATATGTGTTTCTGATGGCAGAGGTCCTGTGAGGCCGCCACACTGTGACCACTGGGTCATAATTAGCTGTTTGTATTAGCTGGCTGCAGTCAGGCCACTCCCCTGAGGCCGCCACCGCAGATGAGGCTGCACACTAATGACCCTCATTACAGTGTCCTTACATCAGCTGTGGCCTTCTGCAGACAGCATATTGTTTTTATCTAAATAGTTGCATCATTACTAATTGGAGGCACACACACACACACACACACACACACACACACAGTCCCTGACATCACCTTTAAGATGCATTTTCTTTTGTTTTTGTCACCATATTTTGACCTCTTTGATCTCCTGTAAGAGTAAAATTTGTGGTGTAGGTCATTTCACATTTCACAATGTCATTCTGTACCCTACAAAATAAAAGTCTCTGCTTAATCCACATTGGATTTTACAGGAATGGATAATGCAATGTTCTTTATATTGTGAAATAAAGTAAAAACAGAAACAGTACATACATACATGGAACACGAGAGGAGGTGTGAATCACAAATGATCATGCAACCTATGAACTGTATTAATGACATGCTGTTATATTGCGGTATGTTTTAGATTTTAAGCAGTGAAAAACAGATGGCCGCATCATTGTTACTGAGTAACAAATTAGATGAAATATGAAGTATGAATGGAAAATAAGTACATAAGGAGCATAAAGAGAAACTTCATCAGAGGACTGCGTTGGTGGACTTGTATTACTGGGACATTAAATCCAGGAAGTCCTGTTTTAGTGAAATATCTGTGCGTCAGAGGGCTTAACAGAAACATAAACACTGCACAGTGGTTTATAATAACTAGCAGACAGGATTTTAAAACTCACTGCTGTGACTAGGTTACGTTAGTTTTTTCACGCAGAGCGGAAATCGGTCTGAACCAGGCCTCATTTCATGACAGGTGCAAATATAATGTCATCCAGGGCTGAGCAACCTCTGACGACCTGTGACGTGTGCTAGCGTGGGCACGTTGAGCAATTTTCCACAACACTGAAATATGTCACTACATTTGTTAAAATTCATAACAGTGCAGTCCCATTATCACAAGTTGTTAAATTAGGTTATTGATAAAACAGATGAAAGCATTATGATAAATTCATGCTGACATGATGATTGATTGATTTGGCTCAAGTGTGTTTGAGCCGCTGTAACCAGGAGACCACACAGCACCCGCCTGCATACAAAACAGATATTGCAGGTTTAAAGTGGGTCAGTCTGTGACACCTGGGGTCTGCATGCCTGGGTCCCTGCCCCTGCCTGCTGCCTGGCACACAATGCACCCAGTCCCAATGCCAGTCCCTGCAGGCATTGGGCCCACAGGTCAGTGACTCCATGTCATTCATGGCCCAAGGCCTGGCTGCCAGACGAGGATCCCCC